CATTTTCATTCCTTATATCGAAATTCACAACTATCACAACATCAGTATGTTTCCAGCAAAATCCTTCTACTGAACAGGGAAGAGAATTAGAATTTTAAAACATTTCCATCTCTAATCCCATCATCAAAAGAAGGGTGTGTGAAAAATGATCCTCAGATCTGCATCTACAAAGAAGTGAATCTTGGACACAGCATAAAGTGCGTGGATGAGATGATGGGATCATATCTGGCCCTGTAGGCATGTGACCTGGATTCATTATTAAAAAAGGGTTCAGTTAACAATGCAGGATTTACTGGAATGGCACAAAGGTGTTAACCCCACCTCTATTTCTCAACACAATCACAAAAGGAAAAGCTCAAGAGAAACCGAGACTCCTTACTGAAACCACGTGCAATGAGATTAATGATGAGAAAAGGAGAAAGTCTGTTGTTCGGGAGCGGATCTGGATCTGTTGTATTAGAACGACATTTTACAGTGTGACAATAATAGTGGTAATTAAACCGTTTAAGAACCCAACTAAACATAATGCATAGTGTTAAAATGCACCTTGAGTATTTCTTTTACTGAAGTGCAAAAACAACAAAACAGCAGTACAGTATGTAAAATATTTTAAATAGCCTCACCATCATTATGATAACCATGGAGCCAGTGAACATGCGAGACAGCCTGGTTTTTTCAGGAAAGTATGGCTCTTTGACCCCAGTCACTGGATTTTGCTCCATAGTAGGAGCCATGGCTGCAAACTCCGGCCGAGGACGCTCCTTAAAGAAAACAGTGACCATCATCACTGGACACACTCTTCACCAGCTTTGTCTGGTTCACAGATTGGTCTGTAACTTTAGTCTTTGCTCTGTTGTTTACCTTGTTTACTCTGTACAAAACTGAAACTTCCGTGTGTAAAGGTTAAAATAAAATATATAAAAAAATAGAATCTCTGTGCAAACAAGCGCAACCAGTCATGATGCCCATTATTGTATTACTGGATCTATAATCGTGACAGACCTAAGAGCTCTAAACCGAATAAGACCAGTATGATCACACTCATACTGAAAGCAACCAATACCTCCTCTTCATGGAAGTCCATACAGTCCCAGTGATGTGCCAGAGTGGCCATTTTTCTCTTCCAGTACTCCAGAAAGGTTACAGCCCAGAATGACATGAACACACTGAAAAACACTGTACCTGGATGGTCAAATAAGTATCCCAGCTGCAACAGAGAAAGGTACAACCGTTAGGTTCAAGTCTTTTTTTTTGCAGAGTCAGCGATTTGTTCACCACGAAAAGCTTGGTACCTTCGTCAAGGTGCAGATCTCAGACATGTTCCAGGCCTTACATGTTTTGCAGAGTGGACACATGGTATAGCTAGCTCCACTGTTACAGATTTCCTCCCTGTTGACAGACACACTGACACAGATTAGTTACACCTGAGATAACACTAATTACAGGTTTTAAAGCAACACGTATTTGGCCTCACATAACTGTGAGGTTCAAATAATGATCAGTGTGGGAGCTAAGGGATTGGGAGAATTAACTCTAATGGATGTAAAGGCTGCACATATACCTATTACGTACTGCTTCCAGGGAACAGATGAGCGGTGTGGAAAGCATTCTCCTAACCTCCTGCCGGGAAACAAAGCTACTGCTCTTTCCTTTATTACAGTTATAGAGTGAGTTACTGAAACCCTGACTGCACATGGGATCAGCTACAAATAAAGCCTGGACTGACAGCGAGATCTATTTCCTCCTCTTCTTTTTTTTTTTAATAGGAGGATTATTCTGCACTAATTGTCCATTAGAGATGGCTGCTTTTTCTTGTTGCCACAGACTCTCTTTCCTAGGATATCGACTTATCCCTAAGAAATGAAGCCAGAAAAAGGTAAACAGTTACAGAGGCAATATTACTGTACACAATCTAGGCTACACTTACACTGAGAAAAAAAAACCCAGAAAGGAGAGCCAACTCTTAATAAATAATGTATGACAAACTGGCACAGACATCCCACATGTAGATGATCTAGTTGTGAAGCGAGTCTTTATGCAGAGTGCGCTCTGCTTTGAAATATTTGAATCCAAAGTTGTGCTTGTTTGAGAGAGTCTGTAAGTGGAGTTTAATTTCCAGGAAACTCTGGCAGCCCTTAAAACAAAAGTTATAACTCACTTATTTGCTTTCTTTCTAAGGAGATATCAATGCTAATCTCATGTGTGTACATTAAGTACAGCGCTGAACTTTGGCTCTTATGTTGGACATCAGTAAGGTTTTTGCTATACGTTTCTGAACAGGCACAACGGCACCAATTTCAGCAGCTTCACTGAAACAATAAGACTCTAAGAAGCCACTGCAGCCAGCAACTGGCTGACAATGATTAGTCCCGTTTATTTTTATTATAAGCCAAGTGGGTGTGCATTAAATTCAGCTGAATCACTATCAATAGTGATACATGTCAGTGCATAAGTATGTTTAATGTTTAATTAAACATAATGTCTGGTTACCATCTGAAACTCCATTGAGGGATCGGGGGGCTGGGTGATCAATAGTTGCCCGATGATTGCATTGGATTTTTTCACATTTGGCAACCGTTTCAATCACAAGGCTATTGCACCTGGTTGGAGGCAACTTGTCTCCAAACAATCGCGGTCTGACTCGGTCTGATCTGAGTCTCAGACAGACTGGCAAAGGTTTACAAATAAAGTTATAAATGCAGACAGATTGCCAACATGCTGCAATCAGTTTGAGTGAGCCTGCACTGATTAATGCAACTCGTCTGGGTCATATTCCTAAATAAAAGCAAGGTTGTTGAATGACTATAATATTTTGCAGTGAAATCACCATCCTGCAACAACTATGTCACTATTAGCAGAGAAATTTCTGATTCAAATCTATAACAATCTTACTGGACTCACAGACTGCATGTATCTGTCAACTTGACCTCATTCATTTGCAAACAAACAAATCAAAGCAGATTGATGACAGACTGACTCCACCTTATTACTGTTTTATGGCAATAAAACAGTTCTGACACACCAAAGCTGGTTTGAGGTTGGCATAACTTTGTGTGAGGGGTTTCCTGTTTGTTTGATTTTTATGTTATACATTATTAAAGACAAGATCCAAGTTTTTGTGTCTATTAAAACGGTGGTTGCTTCACTTGTGTTTGAACTGCCTGCTTAAGCGGACCACTGTGTGCAACAACTATACCACACTACCTTATCTAAGTGAGTGCAGTCACACGTGACTAGCCATGTCTGTAATGCGACATTTCATTTAAATTATTTTGTGTTACACAATAAAACACATGCTATGTATACATGATGCAGACTCACGCTGGTGTGTTGGTACCCATGGACATCACTCCAGACACAAAGACCAGAGTCCCGACCACTGCTGCCGGCAGCAGCCAGGCTGTGTAGAAACCTGCAGAGACAA